CACTGTGACAGAATTGTGTGAAATATTATTTTCAGAGGTTTACATTGGCAGCCTTATGTATGTTGTATCTATAGCCCTTGTGTTGAATACTTTTACATAATTATATATATGCTTATAGTCGCGGAACGAGGCTCAGGAGAAGAAACCGCCAGAGTAAGCTGACGAGTGTGGCGGAGCAGAGGAAGAACCTTGCGACCAAAAGGCAGAAGTTCTGCTTTAAGATCTACAACTTGCAGTGGCAAATAAAAAGACTGGAGGGTCTGCTGGAGCTCTGGGAGAGGGAGTTTGCAGCCAAGGTCACAAACATCTGCAGATCTCCCAGCTTCACATTGAGCTTTAATCCCGCTTAAAGCAGGTGGACAGCCTCCAACTGGAGAAGGAGGATGCTGCTGTCAGACTGGAGCAGGACCACCAAAAACTGGAGCAGCAACTGAAGGACCAGTTGGACCAGGTGGAGCAGCAGCTCCAATTGAGGGACAACAAGGTCCAGACAAAAGAGAACAAGGGTCTGTCTCAGAGACTGACTGAGGCCCTGAACCAGCTGCTCCACAGAGATCAAGAACTTCTGCAGAGCGAGAACTCCTTGCAGACCAGGTACAAAGCTCTGCAGGAGAACTTGAGTGAGAGAGAGGACACCTTACAACAGGTGCAGCAGGAGAAGGAAAACCTCCAGGAGCTCTGCCTCAACACCAGGAGAGGTTTGGTTTCCCACAACAAGTGGGTGAAAAGTGGCCAGAAGACCACAAAGCTTGGCAGGGAGAGTTCAGAGCTCTGTAGGATAGGACAGACAGCTCGAGGACCTGGACCAGCAAAACCAGAGCTGGGACCAGAGACTCAAACAGCTCGAGGACCAGAACAAGATCCTGACAAACAAAGTTCACAGCTGGGAGGACACAGTCCAACAGCTGGAAGACCACAACAAACAGCTGGAAGAGGAAAATAAAGTCCTAATGGCCAAAGATCAGAGCTGGGAGACAGCTGTGCATGTTTTAGTGGTTAACATGTGGAAATGTATTGACGTGTTACAGCTGGTATCAACAGCGCCTTGGATGATCCGATCACAAGTGGATGGCTTTAAGTTTGTCAGTTTACAGCTGGTGTTAGAATGCGTCTCCATATATGCAAATAAACACTACAGGATTGTACCTAATGCTTAAACCCTCTCTCTCTCCTTACCTGCTCCTTACCCCCCTCTTTCCGTCCCTCTTCCTCCTTTCTCCCCTATCTTTCCCTATTTCCCCACCCCCCTCTCTCCTTTCACCCTCCTTACCACCTTATACACTCTCTCTTTAAACCCTCCTTACCTCCTTATACATTCTCTCTTTCACCATCTCTCTCCTTACCCCATTTTTCACTTTACCCCCTCTCCTTACCTCCTCTTTCCACCCAAACTCCTCCTAAAGAATTGATCGGATCAACGTCAAATTTGGTCAGTGAAATCTAAAGTTGCGCTCTTTGTCCAACAGTGTTGTCCCCCCCAAAAAACAAGACAGAACCTCTTACAACAGAGTATATATTGTGTATATCTTAGTGTATTCACTTCACTCTGTTCATTCTGTTAATGCTGTTCATACTGTATATATCCTGCTATTCGTATATATATCTATAATGTTATGTTATTCCTGTACAAATGCACATTACTCTGCACTTTACTGCTTTTTGCACTTCTGGTTAGACGCTCAACTGCATTTTGTTGTCTTAGTACTTGTACTTTGTGCAATGACAATAAAGTTGAAACTAATCTAATCTAAAAACAGGATTAAATTCATCTTAAAAGAGATTTGTGCATCCACATATCAAATGAAGGCAGTTCAGTATATTGTCTAGCTATTTTATTTCAAGTCTTGGGAAATCCTGATTTTACACCAGACCACTGTCTGTCTGAGGAAAAGCAAAATATGCGAAAATCAAAAATTATCTTTCCTTAGTCATCCATTGTCTCATCATTTTAAACAGCAATGTCATCGTGACCTGACGGATTACACATGACAACTGAGTCATTGGTTATTAAAAATCAACTTGATTTTGTGGAAAACTACTTTATGAAGAAGTAAATGTGTGATAAGAGTTTGTTTCTGTTGTGACAAAGTCTTTGTTTCTTTATAGTCCTATCTGTCCACACTGCAAGTCAACTGGTGATAACGAACAAAAGCTGATGAAGCGTTTATTTTACAGTTGTAAGTTACCTCATCCATAGGCGGTCTTAAAGGGTGTTTTGTAAAACACATACAGCTGTTAATTCACTGCAAGTATAAAGTGTATATATATAGTTGTCAGAGCTAGACATGACCACCGAGTTTGCACTTTATAAGAGCTGTGCCATCTAAAAAAACAACTCTTTATTTATATTATCCTTATCATCTAAATACAATTGCATAATTACATATGGCTTATTCTTCTAGGTGCTTTACCCATCTACCATCTAACTTCATCTGCAGTGTTTATCTGCAATGTAAATAAATAACAAGAATATTTTGCAAGTAAATAGTTAAATTTTTCTTTAATGCAACATAATTCAAAGAAGTGCATATGATTTCACTGTCTGGCTATAGACACATATGGTCGGGATTAGACTGAATATAGGTCCTTCTTGTCATACTTGTCAGGCAACTCCAGCTTTTCATGTAGTGTTTAGAACAATTAATGGGGAGAAATATCTTATCGACTCTACACTAAGCACTCTGTGCCACAGCTAATACGGTGCTATAAGGGGAAATGCAACTGGGATCCTACATGAGTGTTGGATGCACCAAAAACCAGGCCCAGCCAACATCAAATAAAGCTGCACTTCCAGCAATTTAAGACCTGTCCCTCTCCAAACTACACAACCTATATTGGGTGGAAAAGGCTCAGCAGGTGGGGTGGAACATCCACTAACCACAGGGTTGGTTGATCCCTAGTTCCTACTGTCCACATGTCTAAGTGTCCTTGAGCACTTTGAATGGTAGCTTGCCAACACGTGCCAACAGACATGAATGTGCTTTGGATAACTGATGTTTCTGTTTGAGATGCTATATTTTAAAGTAAAAAAAAAGTTTTGTTAAACTGAGCAAATTTTTTGTGTACAGTCATCCAGTGCCAGTTAATTCAGGCAACTACAGTGGTGGTATTCACTTCAGGCTTCACTCGCGTCCTAGGGTTTAGTTTCTTGTGTTATGTTCCCTCCTAACCGTCTCTTTTATGCTTCAGGATCACACCTCACCTATCTGCCAGCTTTTGACCAGATATCCACCAGCCACATCCAGTAAGCCATTCGTCTCCACCCTTCTGGCCTGTGTTACTGCCAGCTACCTCCCCACTCATTCCACATCCATACCCCACTACCCTCACAATAAATCCTCTTTATTTATCTAACTCCTGAGTCTGTGTCTGCATTTAGGTCCACCTTAAATCATAACAGTAGTCTTGTTAAGAGTATACTTGTACTGTACATTCTTAGCCCTATATGTATAGCCTATAGCCTGTATTCCCTTTAAATTACACTTTTTTTGTCCTGTGCAAATATGTTTATTTCTACACTGTGCTGCTACCTGCTGCTGCGACTTGTACAATGTCCCATATCAATCAGATCTTTCTATAAAAAATATGTTATATTTAATATTTATTTAAATATTTTTATTTAATATTATTTTATATAAAAATCTGTATGTATAGTGTACCTCTTATTTGTATTTTTCTATTATATCTTGTATTTTTTATATTCTATTTTTATTTATTGTGTTTTTTCTTGTCTTTTGTGTTTTATCTGGAGCTGCTGTAGAAAGTACATTTTGCCAGTGTGGGATCAATAAAGTCTATCTTATCTTGTATCCGAGTGCCTCACTATTCCTTTATGCTTAAGTACGGCTTAAAGGACAATAATGGTAATGGTGAATAAATAATAAATTCTTTGCTATTTGCAGTCATACAAGGCAAAAACTGTGCTCTTAAAATGTAGCACTACAATTGACCTTTGACCATATTCACCATGCAATACATGATAACCCATGGCATTTAGCTCCATCTACTGGTTAGACTGAGTACTTGCTCTGTGTTGCTTTACCACCCAGTAATTTGCTGTAGATCAGTGTACATCCACTTTTAGGGTTTTTGTTGGCTTCACAAGCTGTGTCTAAATCACATGAGACAAGAGGTAGTATTCAAAAGTGTGTAATCAGAATCACATATCACACTCATATATGCACTTATATCATCTTATAGATCTGTTTCTCTGAAAAGTCTTGACAGGTGTAAACAATGCAAAAGTACTGTGGGAGAGATATTATTTTTCAGATCCAGCAGCGACTTCAGCTCAGCAGACAAAAAAAAAATGAAAGGGTTGAATTTCAGACACTTTCTATCCAGTCTTTTGCTTCATTCCTTCAATTGCTCTCCTCCGTGTCAGGTTGGTGAAGAGCAACACAAAGTTGACAATGTATGTTGACACACAGACCATGCAAAAATCCCCCAGAACAAAGGCGAGAATAAATGCGAGGTAGAGTGAACCGGCCACAGACACCCAGGAGGAGAAGACCAAAAACATTGCAGCTTTTTTGGATAGAGACAGTCCTGCAATGAACACAAACACAAGAGTTCAGTTCATCAATAAAACACATTACACAAGCAATAATAGGGAAATGGTTGTATATATCATTACTGTTTCAGCTAAATTAATATGAATATGAACCAGCCATGGTCCATGAACATGCTGTTTTATTGTTATTGTTGTGTAAAGGCTCTTCTAGGGTTTGTAGCTATAAATGCTGTGATACAATGCACTTGATGATTGTAAAGCAGTTTTCTATGTAAACTGTATATGTGTCTATCAAATAAACCTGAAATCCTGGAATGCAAACGGTATCTATTTTGCCTAAAAACAAACAAACATTTGCAGAATAAGATGCCAGACTAACCAAGGCCCATCTGCAGAGTGTAAAATATGATGCCAAGCACGCTGTTGGGCTGGTTCAGAGGGCTATCTTTGGGAACAAAAAACTGGACCAAGCCAAAACCACGTCCCCATCTGCCAAAAAAAGAAAGAAAGAGAAAACAGTTAGAATATAGTGAAAAGAAAATGAAAAGACATGCCTGAATATGGTTCATATAGCTCCTATGCAAAAAATCAGGCATGCATATTATTTAATGGAAAGCAATTTGACATATAAAAAAGAAGAACATCCACGTGGTGTTCTCATGTTGTTAAAAAGTAGCTGATGTGAACTATGTGCAGGACTTTAACACGTGGCAGTGAAGGGGGGTCGGGTCTGCCATGAAATATTCAGATTTTACAAGCAAAAAATGATACCACCTGAAATGACTTAATGGTGCAAAGTACTTCTTATAACTCGGCACAGCAAATCAGGTATGAGCTGATATAACAAACCCGAGGTATACAAACATACCTGGAGGTAAACACTTTGGAGCAGCTCACAGACTCCCCCAGGTCGCACATCGCTCTGTAATCAGGGTTGCTCTCTCGGGACAGCTCGACGTGAAGCGCATAAACAGACAAAAACAAACCGAAAACGCACAGAAATATGCGCGCTTTTCTCTCCCATTGCGGCAATGCCATGGCTATTTGAGGGGACTTTAAACTGATACTTTTAAGGTGGATTTATTTGACTCCAGTGGGCTAACAAAGATCAGTATCAGTCCGCTTCTGTTTCCTCTAAAACCTCACAGTCCACACCGACTGCAGGCGACGTGTAAGGGATCAGATGCTCACTTTTGATTGGTCTGCTGGATTTTGGTCACTGCCTCTCATTGGACAGCTGGGTCCAGATGTTGGAGCAGCAGGAGGGGTGTTTATTGTGTAATTACTGTGGACTTCAGTCTGTTTGGGCTTCAGGGGGGGGATGTTAAGAACTGCCCACACTGTCCATGCCAGTGCAGCTTTTTACAGTATATGTGCACTATACATAATTATTGTACAGTCTGAACACGTTATGCATAATATATAATCAGTGGTGGAACAAGCGTTCAGATCGTATACTTAAGTGGTAACACCACAATGTAGAAATACTCTTACAAGTAAAAGTACACTCAAAATCTTACTTATTAAAATACAAAAGGTACTAACATCAAAATAAAGTCTACTTAAAGAAGCCTACTCATTATGCAGAAGGGCCTATTTCAAACTAATATACATTAAATGATTGGATTATAATTATTGATGTATTAATGTGTACATCACATGATAGATAAGATAAACACACGTTTTGGACTTTGGATTAAAGTCAAATCATTAAATGTAAATACTAAAGTACAAGTATCTTAAAATTGTACTCAATACAGTACTTGAGTAAATGTACTTTCCATTAGTGTATTTATTTACCCACTCTTCCAAACACACTGACAAAATGCTCTTACCCCTTTTAATTTTCTATAGCTATCTATGCTCCAGTGCTATTATTACAGTAATTATAGAGTAGTTATTAGATAGATATTCTATCATAGTAAATATAGTAAAACAAATATTATTCTACTAGTTTTTTAAAGGGGGGTAATTGTGTCCCAATGTGGCCCCTCCTATACTAATCCAATTCTGGAAAACGGCGTCACCACAAAAAAAACAACAAACAGAGACCCTGCTGTCTACCCCGATGTCCCGCCTCCCCCCACGCTCTGTGCTCCTATTGGACGGTCTCTCGGAAGTCACCTCACCTCATTGGTCCCGCTACATGGCACTCAAGCCAACACGGAACTGTACGAGGAAGCGGCAGACAAAAACAAGCGATACCCGCGCTACTACGGGATTAAAAACTACAATTACTGATGTTGTGGTTGGCTCACAAGGTGATGGTCGGTTCCGTTACTTAGAAACGCCTCTCTGTGTCGTCCTGTGTGTTTATATAAACCGAGAAAGACATGGTTTATCGGTTTATGTTCCTAGAAAGCCTGAGCTTCAGGTAACTAGCCTACGCCCCTGCGTCAAACAGTGGGTAAGGCTGCGTCTTTATCATGAAGTTAGTTTATTTTAACCACCGTGTAGGTCCACAGCTAGCGTGCCCTCAAAGACAGCTCCACATGTATTTGTTCCCTGATCATCTATCTGTAAACTTCAGCTATAATCTAGAGACGTCTTGTGACTGAGAGCTACAGGTTTGGGTCATTTGACTGACAGGCCGAGTGTGTGTGTGTATGTGAGAGAGTGTGTGAGTCTGTGTGTGTGTATGTGTG